CCCGACCAGACGTAGGTATAACGTTCGGCCGCACGGGCGTCGACAAAAGGCAGGGGGCGGCGGTGCTTCGCTGTAGGCATCTTCGATCCGGCGCCCCCTTTTTGAAGTATCAAAGGGGTGCCTGGCGTGCCAAACGTTTGAGCGGCGTGTCATTGGCAAAATATATAAAGGGGGTCTCGGCCGATCCTGCCAGCCACCCAGAAAACTCACGTTATGTTGATTTGCTCCTGGACGGTCCCCAAAATGGGCTCCAAGACGGACTAAATGGCCCAAGATGGCCTCCACAATATCTACAAGACAGCCAAGATGACTCCAAGAAAGCCCAAGACGGTCCCAAGACGGCCAAGATGGCCCCGAAACGGTCCAAGATTCCCTCCAGGCAGCCCAAGAGGCCCCCAAGACGCCCCAGGGGGGCCTCCAGAGAGACAAAATCATGTATTTCCCGCAGGTGGTTCCATGTGCTTAGCGTTCTCATCTTTCCGAGTTTCCAACACTCCAAGGCGGCCCCATAGGCTTCCAGGATTCCCCCAAGACGGCCCAAGAGGCCCCCAAGACGCCACAAGAGGGCTCCAAGAGGACCTCCAAGAGGCCAAAATCATAGATTTCCGACAGGTGGTTCAGTGGTTTCAGCGTTTTCGCTTTTTCAGACTTCCGACGCTCCAGGACGGCCTATGGGCCTCAAAGATTGCCCCAAGACGGCCTCAGAGGCCCCCAAGACGGCACCACAGACCTCGAAGATGGCCCTAAAGCGCCCAGAGGGGGACCAACGACTTCCCAGAGGGGCCCCAAGACGGCCTCCGAAGGCCAAGAAGATCCTCAGAGGCCCCCAGAAGCCACGAGGAGGTCCCGAAAAGGCCAGAGGAGGCCCCCAAGAGGCCCACAAGAGGCCCCTCAGAGGCCCCCAAGAGAGCTCTCAGAGGCCCGCACCCAGGAAGCCTCCAGGAAGCCACAAGACGACCTCAAGAGGCATCCTTTTCCTCCTCCTCCTCCTCCTCCTCCTCCTCCTCCTCCTCCTCCTCCTCCTCCTCCTCCTCCTCCTCCTCCTCCTCCTCGTTTCTCTCCCAAGTTCCCCCAAGGAGTTTCACAACGGCTTGGGGAACACATAGTCTGATAGCTTGGCCAGACGTCGGCCCAACGTTTGCCCGCATAGTCGCTTCCAAGACGTCTTCGATGGATCCTCCAACAAGTCATCACCGTCGTCGTTACCGACAGCAGCAGCAGCGACATCGCCATGGCCCATAGCCATCATTGTCATCGTCACCATCGCTCACGTCCAAAGAACAACAACCATTGCATGATTATCTTCGGATCGACATAGATAGGCCCACATACCCGCGGTCGCGCGCACATGCATGTTCGTACACATGGTCTGTCTGCGTAGCATCCCTCGCTGCCCCATCAGCCCTTCGCATCGACAGTCAAGGACGACAGACAACTGTCTCGCAAGTGCCAGCCATAACGCCCCAGCGCTTCAGAACTCACTCTGCGCCGCCAAGAAACATCAACATCTACAGTTCCTGGAGTCCTCCCGCAGGTCCGTGAGGACAGGCGAAAATCGATGTGACCCCGCCCGCGTGGGCTGGTAGACGTCCGTGTCCACCACTCCTCTAGGCCCGACGGCACGACTCGGACGCGGCGGACGTGGAAGCAGCCTGGCGACAGACACGTACCCAGAGTGCCACGGCACAACTGCCACGTCAGCAGTCGAAAACGGCCGCACACGATACCATCAAGCACGCACCTCATGCAAATCATTTGCAGTCACGAGCTGCAGTGGTAGCGATGCTCGGCTCAAGTTTGATAAATTACCCCAGTGCGACCCTACCTAGAAGTTGGAGCCCCTAGGAAAGAAGCATTAGTTGCTATGTTATGTTATGATTTGCTATGCCATGCTATGCTGCGCTATGCTATGCTATGCTATGCTATGCTATGCTATGATATGATATGATATGCTATGATATGTTATGTTATGTTGCGTTATGAAAAGATATGCTATGCTATGCTATGCTATGATATGCCTGTGCTATGCTATGCTAAGCTATGCTATGTCATGCTGCGCTGTGCTCTGCTATGCTATGCTATGCTATACTGCGCTGTGCTATGCTGTGCTGTGCTGTGCTGCGCTATGCTATGCTATGCTATGCTATGCTGCGCTGTGCTATGCAATGATATGCTGTGCTGCGCTATGCTATGCTACGCTATGCTATGATGTGCTGTGATATGCTATGCTAAAGCTCAGCGAAGCTAAGATGAAGGTAAGCTAAGCTAAGATAAAACTGAGGTCAGATGAAACTAAGCTAAGGTAAGATGAAATAAGCTAAGCTAAGATGAGATAAGCAACGCGAAACTAATGGAACGTCACTGGGGGAACCGCGGGGCGGATGCCGGGGGAACCGCCCGGGGCGTGCCCCACTGCCCGGCCCGTTAAGCAAACAGAATACGAACCCTTCTAGGCAGAGCCTAGGTAGGGAAAAAAACTAAGGCCGAGTCCACGAACCCCTCATCTGGTCCATCTGGTACGGTTCACCCCGGATCTGGGTTGACGGTCCTCGGGAGACCGAAAGAGGCAACAAACATTCTCGAACCCAGCAGCTCAACCTAGCCCCCTTTCCTGCTGACTGGAACCCGCGCTGGACCACCTCAGAACCCCAGCCGACTCCACGGCCCAACTAAGCTGCCGCGCCTCCACGCACTTCTTCCCCGTCCGGGTGGCCCTCGGAGCCGGGATGCCCTCCCGCGAGGCTGCCCAGGCCGTCCTGGGCAGTGGGCGGCGCCGCGGGCGGCGGCGGGCAGGCTGCGCCGACCGCGCGGCGGGCGCGAGCGCGGAGCCGAGGTGCCAGACCCCCCCCCCTCATGCAGGATGCCTCGGGCCAGCCGCACAGCACAGCCGCCGAGAGGCCTCCTGCCGGCCACGCGCAGGGAGTTCGGGTGAGCCTTCACTGGAGCCACGCTGTGCCCACTGTCTGTGGCCCCATCGTGATCAGGAGTTCGACGGGCCTTCGTCTGGACTTCGACCGCCGCCCCTTCCCCGCCTCCCGTGCCCCCTTATTCGTATGTATGCCACTTCTGTCATACACTCAGGTTCGAGCACGCGGGCCCTTGCTAGGGGGCCACATGCGAACCTTACCCCTGCCCCCAAGATTTCTGAAGGGGAGGGTGGGGTTCACTTCGCTCGGGAGCTCCCGAACGAAGTGAACCCCACCCTCCCCCTTAGAGCTCGTGGGGGGTAGGGGTAGGGTTCGCATGTGGCCCCCTGCATGCTGAGCCACCTCCGGCGAGAGGCCACTTCTGCGAGTACGCGATCCCCGGGGGCCACGGGGACGCCAGCTCCGGGCGCCCCACCCTGGGCCTGCTGGCTCTCGGGCCACCACTCGTGCCTCCAGCATACCCCCAACGACTTCTGAGGGGGAGGGTGGGGTTCACTTTGCTCGGGAGCTCCCGAGCGAAGTGAACCCCACCCTCCCCCTCAGAAATCGTGGGGGGTAGGGGTAGGGTTCGCATGTGGCCCCCTAGCAAAGACCGAGGTCGATCCTCCGCGCGGCACCCGTGAGGGCCCGCACCACAAGTCACTCCGGCGAAGGGCCACTCGCAGCGCGGGGCCGAAGCCCAGCTGACGGGCGCCCCGACGCCCGAGTCGGTGCTCTGCCTGCTCCGCGCACCGCGGCCTCTCGAGGCGCGGGCCCGCCCGGTCGCGAGCGGCAGCCCAACGCGCCTGCACGGCGCACCCGTGCGCAGATGGCGGTCTCCCCGCTGCCGCAGCCCTCGGCAGAACAGATCAACCATCTCCGAAACGCTCGAAAAGGGGAGCCCGAAGCCTGACAGGAGCCCGACAAAGCACGGAGGGAGGGCCGACCAGAGGAAGAGCGGGAACAGGGAAGACGGGGCGAACGAGACCGAAAGAAAGAGGGGGTGGTCGGGAGGGACATGGACAGAGGGAGAGAAGGAAAGACAGAGAGGGGGGGAGAGAGAGAGAGAGAGCGAGATACGCTCAGGGAGCTCATCCGCGGTGAAGCGCGGAGTGCCAGGGAAAAGGAGAGAAGCGTGGAATGCAATGGGCGGCGATGTCAACTAAATTTTCTCCAGGCCGGGCTCAACAAACATCCGAGCAACAAAAGGTAGCAGATCATGCAATATGAGGCATTCCCATATTCCCATACGTTGGTATTCTCGGTCGCTGGGTTGGGTACTCAGGATGCTGTCTGGGTTCTCAGGTCCTCATCACTCGGTGGGTCTGGAAAGACCTGATGCGCCGCTGCAAAGAACTGGCCGTCAATACTGCCAAGCGTTTCCAAATCATCGAGCTGCTTCAAGAGGCGGCCTTATCTCTCGTAGCGCTTCCAGCTCGCCAAGCTTTTCCAGGGGCCCCGCTTCTGGACGCGGACAATCGGGAGGCCGCCCAGGCCATCTGCGGAGACGCCGCCGTGCCGAAGGCAGCGAGGGGCGAGGCGCAGCGCCTCCACGACGGCGCGACGGCGCGCCCGAAGGTGCGCTCGTAGCCGGCCAAGGTGACGCCGTGGAACGCCAGCTGCCCCTTGCCCGTCGTCTAGCGGAGCACCTCCAGCAGCTTCGCGAGCAGGGCCCCACCCGCCCCCGAGTCGTCGCCGAAGAGGACCGCGTCGTCGAAACCGCCGCTCTTGGGCCGCCCGAGCTCCTCGGGCAGATCGCTGCAGCCGCCTGGCAGCGGAAGGACTCCTCGGCCCCCCCGGGGCGCAATCACCAGGCCCTCGCCCAGGCTGAGGCCCTCGGACGGCCGCGGGCAGCCGTCGAACAGCACGACGGCGAGGGCAGCGGCGTTCACCATCATGAGGCTGCGCTGCTGTCCCAACCAGCGGGCAAGGGCCAACACGGCCTCTCCAATGGGCATCCATACCGAGACCAGGTCTGCGAGGCTTCGCGGAAGCCACGCCGGGCCCGCTGGGTCCGCGGGGAGCGCGGCGCCTTCGCCCAGACCTGGCTGATGTGAAACATGACGGCGTGGGCGACGTTGCTGGCCAGACTCGCGCGCTGCCATTGGAAGTAGAGCACGTCGAGGTACCGCTCCAGGGCCTCGCCGCGGGCCCCAGCGGCCTCGGCGAAGCGTCGCCGCGCCCCCCACCAACCCGCGAGCAGCTCGCACTCTCGCTGGCACGGGCGGAGCGCGGCAGCTCCCACGGACCTCGAGTCCAGGTAGCCGCTCTCGCTGGGCGCGACCTTCACCGCCCCAGCGACGGCCTGCCGCGGAACGGCCCGCCGCCGCCGACCCCCCGTCGGCGGGCGGCAGTCGCCCCCGCCCGGCGGCAAGAGCCCCCGCGGCAGACGGCCACCTCCGGGGAGGACCGCTTGCGACGCTGGCCTCGCGGACCAGCGCTCGGTGGCGGAGGCGCCGCTGCTCCGCCATGCCACTGCAGGGCCGGCGGTCTACGGCGCGCCCCCATTCAGGCAGTAAACAGCCGTGGGCACGTCGGGGCGGGGCGGGATTTCAGCCGCGAGACGTTGGCCGGTGCCGCCAGCACGCGCCCCCACCACCGGCAGAGCGCACGCTCGCCATCGCGTCGGACGGCGCTCGGCCCGAGAGGTCCACGGAGCCCGCGGGCAGCAGCGCGACGGAACCCAGGGGCAAAGGCGGCAGCCGGGAAGATTTTCAGTTCCCACGCTCGTCTACTTGCCCAGTCTGGGACCTTCACCAGTCGCTCGCGAGACGCAACAAACGCGCACGTTCCCCCAATGACGTTCAAGGGCGGCACATTCGCGACGGACGCAGTGGGCGTCGGACTCGGGCACCCGCACCGACAGCAGTGACGAACAACAAACAGCAGAGCAACGTAAACACGCCGACGAGGGGCGGGTGCCTCGAGAGCTCGGAGGACGCCAGCTTCTCGAGCGAAACGGAGACCCCACGCCAGTCGCACATCCCCAGCACCTTTGTGCTAAGAAATCGGCACGCCACAGACCTGCTGTGGAGGCTTCTGGGTCAGGGGCGCCCGTCGTCCTAGCCGTTCTCCGGCGGGCGCACGGAGGCGCAATATGAGCGCGACAGGCATGACCATAACAAGTTCTGTGCAAGAACTCTTGCTGAACAGCGATGCTAAAGACGTCGAAGCGCGGCCCCGCCGAGGCGTCGACGGGGCACAAAATGAGGATCCGAGCCGCCACGCAGGCGCCCGAGAACCTGCAGCACCCGCCGAAGATCTCGAGCACCCCAGCGCAGTCACACCGGCATGGACGCCGGCGCGGGCGCGGAGCCTCGGTCGCGGACTCGCTGGCCCAACCGCGGAGATAAGGTGTTACTGCGGCCCGTTGGTTGTCACTGCGGCCCAGTGGGTGTTAGTATGGCCAGGGATCCTCCGGAGTGTATCAATTATCAAATACGGTGAGGGGGGGGTCCAAAAAGGCTCCCCCCCCTTCACCGAAGAGCCTCTCGGAAGAGCCGCTGGTGCTCCCCGAAGAGCCTCTTGGGGCATCCGAAGCGCTTCTTGGGCTCTCCGAAGAGCCTCTTGGACTCTCCGAAGAGCCTCTTCTTCCGGCGTCCGAGGAGCGTCGAGGGGCCTCTGAAGGGTTCTTGGGGCCCCCGACGGGTTCTTGGGGCACCCGAAGGGTGCTTGGGGCCTCCGAAGGGTTCTTGGGGCCTCCGAAGGGTTTGTTGGGGGCGCCGCAGATACTGTCGGGGTGACGACGATGACTTCCAAGGTCGTGAGTTGGAGGTCGGGCGTAGCGCGTGCCAATTTTGAGTCGAGAGCTTCAGTCGGGAGTTGAGGGCTGGAAGTTGATCTTTGAAGCTCCTCCGACGTGTGAGGTTTGTCGGCCATCTTGGGGGCCATCGGATCCCTCCATGGATTCGTTTTGCAGATTGGGTCCTCTCGGCACCATCTTAAAAGCCATCGATGACATGTGGCGGGGGGAGGACCACCATCTTTTTCCTCATTTCCTCCCTCCCTCCCCCTCTTTCCCTCCCTACTGCTACTGCGACGACGGCTACCACGAGTGAACTACTAGTACTAGTGCTACTACCAGTACGAATACTAATACTGACTACTACGACGGCGACGACGACGACGACGACGACGACGACGACGACGACGACGACGACTACTACTACTACTACTACTACAACTACTTCTGCTACTGCTACTGCTTGTACTACTACTACTACTACTACTACTACTACTACTACTACTACTACTACTACTACTACTACTACTACTACTACTACTACTACTACTACGACTACTACTACTACTACTACTACTACTACTACTACTACTACTACTACTACTACTACTACTACTACTACTACTACTACTACTACTACTACTACTACTACTACTACTACTACTACTACTACTACTACTACTACTACTACTACTACTACTACTACTACTACTACTACTACTACTACTACTACTACTACTACTACTACTACTGCTACTGCTACTACTACTACTACTACTGCTACTACTACTACTACTACTACTTAACCACTACTACTACTAACTACTACTACTATACTACTACTACTACTAC